GTGGGGTCTCACTGCCAGTCTAGACTGTGAACAAATAGTTTAGTCTTATAAGGAACAGATAGGTGATCTTTCTGTTTGAAACTCTTCGAACCACACTACCTCAATATAAGACATGGAGTATGTATTGCATAAATAAATAAACTGCAAACATATGTACTTTGACGGAAACATGATGGCCATATCAAAATGGAATTGATAGAAACTGCAAAACATCGCTTTTACAGCATACCTCTAACAATCTCCCACTTATGATTTATAAGCTCATGGTTAAACAAAATAACCACAATTTCTTTCAATCTAATTCTCAAAGACTAGTCTACCATGTTGCCCTAACATCTGATTCCCATTCCTTTTACGTGTCTCGTAAAGACTTTCGTCGGTAGGCTCTTCGTAAAAGGATCTGCTAGGTTGTCCTCTGATTGTATCTTGGCAACAATGACTTCTCCTCGTCCAATGATTTCTCTTATCAGGTGGTACTTGCGCTCTATGTGTTTACTCGCTTTATGAGTCCGTGGTTCCTTCGAATTTTCTACTGCTCCGCTGTTATCACAGAACACTGTAATCGTAGCGGGCAAACTCGGTACCACATCAAGGTCGAGGAGAAAATTCCTGAGGTAGACAGCTTCTTTCGCTGCCTCTGAGTGTAATATCCCGTCATATTAGTAATATAAATCATGTGTTTAGCTCCGATATAATAATATTGTTGATTATATTTTTCGGAATTAATTATTTCATTCAAGATTACCCGAAATTATTTTCGAAGTTACGTTTACGTTCGAAATAATTTTGGTGTTAATTATTTAGATTAGTCGTATAATTAAGCATATTGAATTATGCTTAATTAAGGAGATAATCATGTTTAAAAGCATTAAATGTTGTGAGCATTTTTTTTATAAGTCTTGTAGAATTTCATTATATTTTTTTCCATAAAGTCGTGAGCATTTTTAGTGGCATTTAAGGGAGATTTGTCTCCAATTTTTGCAGCATTAGGTGGCTCATTTTCCTTCACTAAGTGATGACTAATCTCTTCACTTCATGACTAAGCCTCCATTAATTACAAGTGGCACAAGTTTATGAAGCCACCAAGCTTTCCACCTCCCCATCTTTCGGCTATCATATATTGAGTAAGTGTTAGAGAGATTGCAGCCATTTTTGTGTTCTTAAGCAAGTACTCAATAGTGTGAGTTTCCCTTAGTGAGAGTTTTCCTTGAGTTTGGAGAAAGCACCGCACGCGGAGAGTTTAGTCGCAAGTAACGCACGGTAGAAGCCATAGCCGCACGCACGGAGGGCATCATCCGAGCTACCGCGAGAGTTGGTGTAACTTAGCCGAGTGTTCGAAGAGGCAACCTCGGTTTACCTTTTCTTGATATTAATAGAGTCAGGTTAGAGCATTTTTATTCAAGTCAAGTTCATGAATTTTCCATAATTTCTTTCGGCCATGCGCATTAAATCATGTCGAGCATGTTCATGTTTTTGTCCAAAACTCTCGAACAATTTTCATGTATTCAGCCATTACATTCCATATTATGTTCAGTTAGCTCATGTTGGCCGAGGAATTTTCATATTTAATCGTTGAGTTGGCCAAAGGGCGTGGTTTGCGCATGTAGCGCATACCACGGGCCGTGCATGTTTATGGTCATGTTGGATAGGGATCCTTCGAGCAATTCATGTTGATTTGATTAGTAAATATTATTTCATGTTCAGTTATGTGTTAGTTACCGGAAGAAAATAAAGTTTGGTCGAGGATCGGCTTAACGCCATAGGCGGCGCACGGTCCGCACGCCACCGGCCACTTTAGCATATTGAGCAAACTCATGATTTTTGAGTGCATTCAGCAGTTTTGATCATGTTAAAATAGTTCGTGTTGTTTCATGTCATAACGGTCAAGTGAAGTCGTCGGACGGCCGGCAAGGGCCGGTTGTTGTCGCGCTGCCCGCACACAGCGGAAGCAGTGCGCCGGCAGTCAGCCAGTGCAGACAAACAACGTGTGCGCAGGCCCGCGAGGCGTTGCGCACAGCCTGCCGCGACTGCAGTCCACTGGCAGTGCCCAGAGCACGCTAGCAGTTCCCCGCGCACGCCAGCGCGCGAGTTCATGTGATAGTCGTCTGTTGCGGCGCGCGGTAGCGCCCAGCAGCGCCAGGCACGCTCGT